TGCTGCGACTTTCCGACCCAGCTGGCGCAAGGATTTCAGCACTTCTTGTAAATCTGTCACTGTCAAGTTAGCAATCAGTCTTCGAAGACGTTTTCCGGGATCGTCCTTCCGTACAGTTGAGCTTACGGGGTTGTCCACGGGAGCAGTATTTGAAAAATTGGGGACAAATGAAGCGGGAGCGGGTCTCGGGCAGCTCGTAGACCTATTGAGAACTGAACTTGTCTGAAGTGGATCCAGTTTTCGTGCTTTGGAGCTCAATCGAGGATTAGCCTAAGGGAAATATAATAAGAATTTAATCTGACATAAAACAAACTTCAAAACGAACTCACTGTGAAATTTGTCATATCATGCGATAGCAAAGTAGATGACAGAGAAACTCAAACCTTTAAAGCAGCAGCCGGAACCATGTAACTATCAGGATACGTTCAAATTTATCGACGACGTCCAAGACATGCACATCAACGGCATGACGATGCTTTCCCTAAATGTCGCATTGCTGTTTACAAACCTCGACAGTCGACTGCATTTGCGAATTCTTATTAGCAAATCAAGTGGAAATAGAAATGCCGACGGATGCATTAAAAGGAATTGTTCATAAAATGCACACTAAATGTGAAGTTCCTTTTTTTAAACCAACGGCGTCACCATGGACTTGTAGTGGTCTCTGCCGTCCGATGCTCTCCATTGCTTTGTCCGGCGTCATTGTTCAAGGTCAGCTGCCTCAAGTTCGTCCAATACCTCAGACAACGCTTACAGAGGCCCTGACCTGCAGAGACTTGACCTACTTCCACTCGGACACACACACGTGTATCTAGGTTCTGGCGGCTGCCCAAGCACCACTCGAACATTTCACTTTTTCCTCACCCTCGGCCGCCAGACATCACTTAGGACCACGGCGCTCCAGCGGAATGACTGTGTCCGAAGGCCAAAACTCTTTCCATCTATTCTTCGTTCCTATGTGTAAACAAGAAAATATTCCTACTATTCTGACCTCCACCGACTTCTCTTCTACTAAGTAACCATGGTCTGATGATCGCAGTTGCCAGGGTTTAACTTGCATAACCCCCTGCGATAGGCTCTTCTCCTGGACCTCTCTTGGCTGATATCTTTATGGGCAAGCTAGGAAAATTTAAAAACAGCGACCAGATCCATAAGTAAAATCACCACGGTCACTATGTCGATGACGTCTTCGCCATCTTCACCCCGATGTCGGCGTGCTCCTCAATATTGTCAATCAAGCATACCTCTCCGTTAACTTCACGTTGGAGGTAGAAACGGCAGGAGAGAGCAATAAAACCCACTTCACCCACCATGGAAAGGAAGATGCTATTTCGCAAAGTCCCCTTTCAAGGCTAGGCGGAAAGTGAATTCCTAAGAAGGTGTCTTAACCAAGCCGCATCACGAATCTTCCCATCAGTGAAAGTTTGGGGCCATTCTCAACCAACCCAGTTCTGCACGGCGAAGGTAAGAATAGGTTGCCAGCTAAAACCAATTCCGTGTATACCTACTTATTTACTTGCTTCTATGGAGCAGTCTACACGGATCACAGGAGACGGCGCTTATCCGAAAGAATACAGGAGCACCTCCCAGCATGACTGAAGGTATGGGAAGTCAGGAGGATAAATAGCACCATTCTCCCCCCATGATTG